TAAGAATTAATAGAAGGGGATATTAGTCTCTTTTTATTATCGCGTTAAACTTTTAGTAATCTATATAGAATCGTAGTCTATTATCTAGTTTCTTTATTATAATAATTAGTAAAGCGAAGAGAGTATTACTAAGGATAATAAATCTTTTATATAGATTTTCGATAATATATTATCTTACTACTTTAAGTTCTTTTATAAATATCTTATAAAATAAGCTATAATTAAGCTTATTCTTCCTTTTAATTATAATTTTATAGTCGATCTTATTTTATAAGAGTAGTAATATATCCGAGTCTTTCTTAGAGAATATATTAAGATAATTATAATAAGTCTTTAAGATTTACTATTCTAGCTCCTCCCTTTCTAACTTATAGACTAAGACTTTATTAATCTTATATATATTTATAATAAAGATATTAGCTATCTTTCTTTTTATATATCTACCGAATCCTATTATACTAATTATTATAATATCTATTAAGGGAAGTATCCCTCTTTAACTTTTACTCCGATCTCTTCGGGGCTTTAAGGGTTATTTATAGTTAATTAATACGCGTTTTATCTTAATTAGGTTATCCTACCGGTCCTCTTTTTAAGTCCTTAATAATAAGTACTATATTTCCCCTATTTAGGCGTTTCGCTCTTATTATTCTATATTAGCTTAGTATACTAGGTCCGAGGTTAGTTATTTTAGGATTTCCTATAGGATAATTATACTCTATTTCCCTATTATCTTCTCGATTATAATAGCTTCTCTTAGCTATTATAGGCTATATCTCTAGTAATCTAATAATATATTATAATATACTAGTTAGCGCCGGTCTAGGATAATATCTATAGCTTTAAGATCGGTAATTAAGTAGGATAGCTATAGTTATCGTCGGCTATCGATAACTAACGTTAATTTAATAAGATACGTGATTATCGGTCTATTTTAACCGTCGAATCCTCTAATTAGGTAGGGCGTTTCTAATCTTTCTATAGACGTTCTAAATCTTTATAATAAAAGAATCGCTAGGTCTATATCGATAATAATAAAATAATCCGTCTTTATATCTATTAACGCTATAATAGTAATAATATAAGTATTATATAAAAGCTATATCTAAAAAATTATACTCTAGTTTAATTAAAATATCTCTTTTATAAGATTAAATATTTAGATACCGACTATCCTACTTAGGAAAGAGACTTCTTTTAGGGGTACTAGTTTTTTAGCTTTACTAAGTTGTCGAGCTTCTCTATCTAGTTTATTAGGATTAGGGCTAGTTATTTAATCGCGGCTATTATCTTTATCTTTTATTACTAATAATCCTTTATAAAGTATTTATTTTTTTTATATTTATAATACTTTACTACGCTAATCTTAGTTTTTACTCTTAGGGTCTCGCTATCTTTAGTCTTTAATAAATTAATAGAGATAACTATTATAGTAATATAGCTCTCTAAGCCTCTCTTACTACTATCTTAGTTCTATATAGACTTCTTTTTTCCTAATTAATAATTATATTTAACTAGTTAAAGGTCTATAAATAGATCTAGGTAAACTCGTTAAATAAGAACGTCTTATTTATATCCGCGATAACTAGCCTCTATAAGTCTATAATAAGTTTATAATAGAGGTCCTCCTTTCGGCTATTAAGATCTATCTATACTTCGTCTACTAAGTAGCGGAATTTAGATAAGAACTATCTAAACTTATCCCCTTTTTTTATAACTAGTAGATAATAGCTTCTTTTAGTATTAATTAGTCGATTTAGGTTTTTATAGACGCTATCTAAATACTTAAGAATTTCTATTATATTATAGTATTAGTAGGTCGCGCCGATCTATTATCTCGGTAGAATATATTTTATTACCTCTCCGCTATAACGGCTAATAATATAAATAATCCTTAGAGAGTTTATAAGATAGTAGTCCTTATTTATTTAGAGTTTATTTTGAATTAATATTTTCTATTCTTTAAAAAAGAGCTATTTACTATCTATAAATAGAGGCGGATCTAGTAATTTTAAGGATAATTATAGTTAGTCGTTCCGCTTTTAGTTTAAGGGGGCGGTATTTTATAGTATCTAAACTAATTATTTAATAATAAGGCTATCTACTATAGAGTTTATAGACTCGCCGATTAATATTATTAGAAAAGGTTCGACTTTTAAGGATCTTATTTCGGAGGACTCTTATAAAGAGTTTAGATCTTATAAGAGGTTTATATCTTATATAAAAGATTAAAAGGACCTAAACTTTTTTATTATATTCTTTTTAAGCTTAAGTATAGTAGCTTTAAGTCTATCTATTTATATCTTAGCTTTAGATTTCTCTATTTTAATTTTTTTATAAGCCTTCTTCTATTTTTTAGTAAGTATTATCTACTTTTATAATTTATATTCTTAACTATATACCGAAGATATTATTACGCAAGATACGGATTATTATAAACTAAATCTAAAAAGTTTTATCTAAAGATCGGATCTTCTAGCTTTCTTAAGCTTATATCTAGGATTTTATTAAAGACGTTTAACTCCTTAACTCGACTCTTTCCTTTTATTAATTCTAATAGGAAATATATTAAACTAAAAAAGGGGTAGATAATATTTAGCGTTTCTTTTTTAATTATTTTTAGAATATTATTATCTTTAGGAAAATTCCTAAACGTTTCTTAGCGAACTTCCCTATCTATTATATTCCTTCTTAGAATAAATAAAAGTAAGCTATCCTATATCTAAAACCTCGATCTTAATATATATTCTCTAGCTATAATATATTATAGTAGGAGCGTAAAGATATACTTAGTCTATTAGATATATATAAGGATATCTAATTAATATATAGATATATAAATAAAAATAAAAGTAATTAATAAGATTATATAATAATACTAATTATAACTAACTAATTAGTTAGAAGAAGATATATATTAACTCGGAATCTTATTAATAAAGAGGAAAAGGATAAGCCTAGTAACTAGCTAGCTATATATATATCCTTTCCTTCGTTTATAGACGGAAGTCTATATCGTAATTAAGCCTAATTAAGTAATCCCTCGATTAACCCGTTTATTATCTTCCGTCCCGCGTTTACTCTTTACTCTATTAATAGTCAAACGGCGGACGCGGTAATCCCGACGGGTATAACCTAAATAGCCCTTTCCTTATCTCCTACTCCTCCTCCGTTTATAAGCCCCGCGGTAGTTTATAATCGTCTTCCTCCTAATACTCAATTAGTCGGTTCGGGGAGAACCGTAGGGACTCCGCTAATAGCGGTAGGCTATCTAGTAAACTTAGTGGTAAGTTAACTATAACCGAACGGTCCCTATAGAACTCCCAACCGGGTGGCTAGTATACGGGGTCTTCTGGGTCGAACCCAAATACCCTTAGCGCCGCGTACTAGAGCCGGTCGTCAACTGGCGATGGGGGTTCGTGAAGAACGCCCCTAGGCGCCAGAGGCTTTGGATCGTCTCACTTATGGGTGGTGACAGCCTAATTATGCCTGATCTATTAGGTGTCCACAGCAGAATTTAATAAATTAGCCACTTCTTTTCCAAGCAAAAAAGGACCCTCGCAAGCGAGGGTCTGTAGCTAAACACAAAACTACCCCCAAATGCAATTGTATCTTTTACTAGGCGAGCCATATAAAAGGTACATACAAAATGCTGATTTTTAGTACTATAAAAGTCTTTGAAAGCTTACTATAACCTAGTATATAATATAAAAGTGTTAAGGTAGTATTAGAATATTACTGATACACTTAAAATAGAAAGTATTTATGTAATTTGGTCGAGAAAAACGAGTATTTATGTATGTACCTTTTATATGGCTCGCCTAGTAAAAGATACAATTGCATTTGGGGGTAGTTTTATGTTTAGCTGCAGAGACTCGCTTGCGAGGGTCCCTTTTTTGCTTGGAAAGAAAGTGGGGCCGGTTATATAAGTTAGTTATGTACTTTCTGAGTTCAACGATGTATTTTTCGATACTGTAACAATATAAGTTTTCGATATACTCGAATGTATGTTATCGAAAATACTTATCAATTGCTATCAGCAAGTAATGAAATTAAACTAAAACGTTGGTTTTTTGAAATATCATGTTGTAATTTATCGCTTTTACTAACTATCAATTGATGTGTTTTGGGCTAGTTACGTAGTTCGCTTGCGTGCGTAGCTCACTTACTGAATACATTAATACATTATCGGTATAGAGACTTCTAAAGTAAATTGAAATGAAACGAATTTGAATTGAATTTGAAGTGAATCTGAAGTGAATCTGAAGTGAAATTGAAGCGAAATTGAAGCGAATTGTATTGTATTACCTAGTCTTATAGTGCTCAGGGGGTTCAAACCAGTTTTAGGGGGTATTTGGTGCCTGGATGCCTTATTTTGCACCGCTCTATACATCGCATTGTAATTTTCTTACACAATATGAAGCTTTTCATCATACAAATGGACGTATCTCCATATTTTTGGACGATTTGCAAGATATCTCCATTTGTATGAGATCAAAAGCTTCATTTTTAACACTTGTAAACCGCCTAAGAACGTGGAGATATCTATATTTGTATAAGATCAAAAGCTTCATTTTTGACACTTACAAACCGTCCGAGAAAGTGATATCTAATTTGTATGGAGATGAAAAGCTGACACTTGTGAACGCCAGCAGAATCAGGCTACTTTGATTATTAAGGCATATGTAATAGTAATTTAGGTATCCTAATTTTCTTCGGTTTCAAAATAAGGCAATCATCACCAAATACCCCCTAAAACAGGTTTGAAAACCGTGAGCACTATAAGATTTGGTAATAATTGTATTGTCCTTGTTATACGTAATTTTTAATCCAATATATAAACCTCCCCCGAGCACCTTCCAACTTTCTCTTCCTTCTTCCACTTCATCATCTTCATCATTTGATCCTATTGTTTTTGTTGCCCCTCAGGAAAAGGTGGCCCAGTGGTTCCAATCTCAACAAAACCTATTCCACACCGAGGTTGGAGACCCACCAGTACCATGACCACCGGGAGGTACTCCCAGTGGACTTCGTCTTACCTCAGTTTAAGTGTGGCTATTGCGAGGCGACCTTTGTTCGGGAAGATAGCCGAAACAGGCACCAGAAAGCCTGTGAGAAGAACCCGGAAACAAAACGACCAGAGAAAAGGAAGCGTGCTAAGAGGGGTACTCGCGTAAATAAGCTTTCGCTGAGTGCCCAACCACCCGTCCCGATTGAAGGTATGAAGACATACCTTCAGCTAACCGAGGAAGATGCTCCTTGGCTCCCCCGATTAGACCCTGAGTCACCTCAGGTTTTCAGATGGGAGCTGTTCTGCAGATACCCTGGGTGCGGTATCACCACAAGGTACGGACAACCATCAGCCCTGCGAGTTCACTACAAGGTTAAACACAACCTTGAATTCGAGGTCTTTAGGACCTCTATGGGACTAGTTGCTCGAGAGCAACATGAAGCATGCAAGACCTGGTTGGCCCAGTATGCCCAACTAGGCCAGGAGAACGTCGGGCCGGCACCACTGACGCCAATTACCCCATAACAAGCCGGCTCCACCAATGACCAGGTCTCTGGATCATTGAAGAGATATACCCCGGTCTGAACTCCAACTCCCATGAATGGACCGCGGCAACTCAAGACATTCAAGACTGGTGCAAGAATTGGAAGTCAAAGTGAGAGACAAACAGAATCCTTAGAGAATAGCATTGGTATGAATTTCAAGCGAACTTTTTGAAATAGCTTGTCGATGTCTTTTAAAATGTCTCTTAAGATGTATACGAAGGCAGTAAAAATCATAATTCGGACAGAGGACCTTCCAAGGTATCTATGTCACCTTTGCTGTGAGGGCTGGTGCCCCATCGCCGGATAGCAATTGTAAGGATGAGGTATCCTTTATATAGTAACCCTATGAGAGAAAAGGTACAGTAAAAATCACTTCATAACCAGCTCACTTTCACCTGAAATCGACGGAAAAAGATATATATAGTCTATAGCTTCGGCACGGCTGTTGGATGTTCAGGATCTATCCTGTCAGAACCTTTATGACCCGAAAACAACTCTGACATGCCAGATTCAAAGTCAAATACCCCGACGTCCGGTACAAAGTCCTGTTCTTTGGGCTGATTGGCGATAGTCATTTCGGTACCCTCAGCCCTCCGATGAGGTGGAATAAAGACATCGTAGTATCGCGGAAACACCACACCGAGTAGAATCAGGAGCAAACAGAAGTGCGCCAAAATAAACCCGGCGATCATCATGGGGTCGTATCGTAGAGTATAGAATTCAGGGTACGCGAAGCTGAACACAATGGCCAGAATAGGCGCGCTGACGTATCGGAGTAGAATGGGCCAGAAACGAGGGATGGTCCAGTTTCCATTACCGCCAACGACACCGTTCAGGTCGCGTCTTAATTGATTACCCTGCGCATGTTAGTATCTTTTGGTATAAGACTTGGTGACAGCGGGACATACCGAGTAGAATGCGAGATACCAAAACCGACTGAGAATAGGGTTCCGCCCCCAGAAGCTGGCTGCGGTGATACGCGGGGTTATGGCGATGAAGACGGAAATAATCGAACAGACGATATACAACCCGAACCCGGCGCCCGCGCCAGCTGCAGGGTTTGAGACACCGTGTGCGACGGCAACTCCAACAATCTGGCCGCCGAAGTATCCGAAGTTATACACAACAAAAGCAGGCAGTCCTGTCTGGCTCACCACGTCGTGCCAGCGATAAACCGTGGTTGCACCGACGAGCTCCGACCACACCACAAAGATCAAGGCCACATTGTTAATCCATCGGTCGATTCCATCCAGTAGGTAGAATCCGAATTGAGTGCAGTACGGCAGACACATAAGGAATGAAATCAATGTGAGGCCAGTCACAATCATCGGCCGTGACATTTTCATACCCGAATCCACGGCCAACGTAGCCACCGCATCGAGCATCACAAAGGCCGAACTAAATCCGAGAACCACGAGGGTGAAAAATAGAAGGATTGCCCAAAAGTTGGCACCAGGCATGTGAAGCACAGCTTCGGGGAGCGTCAGGAAACCGACCACGAATGCACCCAATCTCTCGCCATCCTGTGGCCAACGTCGGAGGTAGCCTACAACGCCAAACACGGCAAAGGCAGCAATGTTCTCGAACAGGATGTTACTCCCGCAGATGAGAATTGCATCCATGACAGCATTGGAGTGTTTGGAATTATAAGAAGCATAGGAAGTGAAATACCCGAAACCGATGCCGGTGGAAAAGAAGACCTGTCCGACAGCGGTTTGCCAGACAGTTCCCGAGGCGAGTTGGTCGCTTCTCCACGTCGCCCATAAGAGTCGGATACCCTCACCCGCATTTTCCAGCGAACAAGCGCGACCGACGATAATAATGGTGGTGACAATCGGCAGACCCATCGTCCAGTAGACGACGCGACCCGTCATGCCTACTCCACGGAAGATGGAAATCCATATGAGAAACCAGATAAAGGCGCTCCAGCCGACCGTCTCACCAATAAGGGCAACGCCGGGGTACACAGTATAGTGGGCAACGGCACCATTGCCAGCAGTGAGATTGCCCACGACAGGATCAACATTGGCGACAACATCTCCCATGTAGAATTCCTCGATCCTGCCCTCCCATGGCAGTGGACTCCGGAAGGAATTGCGGAAATAGTTCATGATCCACGCCAAGTTGACCGTGAAGTATTGTACGACGACAAAACTGACCAAAATCGGGCCCATGCCAACGCCTTTCAGCCGACGGTTGATATTATTGAACGCGATCACCGTTCCACCACGATAGGCTTGTCCAATCGAAATCTCGAGAATAAGGGCCGGAATGGCGACGGCGAACACGGCCAACAGGTAAGGAATAAACCACTGTAGTCCGTAGTTATTGTAGACCACCGAGGGGTATCGCAGCAGATTTCCCTGACCGGCGCAACCTCCCATAGCGGCCAGCAGGAAAGCTGCTCGAGAGGGCCATTGATCACGTCCATCTTCCGATTTTTTTCGGAGGAGGAGCGATCCAGGCCGCTACCTTTTTCAGATATTGGGCAAGTACCATGGTGGTACCGATTAAATGGGGGAATTTTCAAGAAATTGAACTTCATGCGACGAGAACGATATGGGGTCGAGAGATGGGAAATGAAAGAAAAGGGTAACCGCAAAAAGGTTGTCCAGAAACCTCCGTAGCAGATGAGAGAGGCTTTCGCATGGCTTCCTGATGCCAAGGGCTTGCCAACCATCCGATCCTGCTGCTACCGTCACGTCGGCCCCATGCCCAGGCGCCAAGAGGATTATGGAGGCATTCTCAGCTTGGATCCTTAGATTTGCGGCTGGTGCGATGGGGGAGCCACGCCAAGAGTCTTGGAAGCATCCGATTGCGGTGATGGTGTGGCATGTCGCAGTACTGTTGGCGGGATTAATATTACGGGCAAAAGTTAGCCACCTTGGCTCGGCCAGGTGAGGTCATATGTCCAACATAGACATTTCACGGTCACAAAGACCGGATGTAGGAATCAGAATATGGCCGAATGAGCTGGTCGAAATCCCGGCAGTTGCCAAGGGCGCGACCCTTGGCATGAGATTGCGACATGCACTATCACAGTTAAAGTTGATAACTAGTTATAGTGTTTCTAGCAAGGACGCGATTAGAGTCACGTTATGCTCTCTTTGACTTGCAGCTCAATTCTCTTCGGTTTAGACATCGCCAAAGCTCACCATTAGGAGGAGAGCTGATGCTCGGACTTCTTGAGTATATTAAACAGTCGAAAGAGGAAACTGAAGCTTTCGGCCTAACAATATCCTTAAGACTGAAGAGACCCGGCGGGCGTTAATTATCGAATTCCTTACCTTGAAATATTAGCCAGCTCGTAAGTGAGTTGCGAACAGAGTTAGGAGATGAAAACCATTTATAGTTTTATAATAGGAACGGTGCTTTTGCTTGTATCCCAGTAACGGTTGCATATTGCATGAGGATGAAGCGTTCACAAGATCATCTACGGCCTTGCTGTGTCTAAGTAGATAGCATCGGGCCAAAGTACAAAAGAGCATAGAGCATTTTGAAAAACCTGATCAATATATCTCAAAATTGAGACCTTAATTCCGTTTAACGTTACATTGCAGGAAGCAATAAGCACTATCACTATATCATTTATACCCCTCAGCACGCAATACTCTCCGTCCGGTGGCAATATCATATGAGAGCTGCATATGATGTGAACTGGATTGGGTTAGATCTGCTAAACCCACCATTGATTCACGTCCACTGTTTACAACTGTACATTTTATGATATATCTATTCACTACCTACCCATGTTGCATAAAGGAGGACCTACTACCTTGTAGACTGACCGCCTCAATCTGTTTCATTTCATCTTCCGTCAGCCGCCATCCAAGCGCCTGCATATCCTGCTCCGCTTGACCAGCATCGCGCACGCCAACCAGTGGCAGAACACCCTTATTGATAGAATAATTCAGTGCAACAGCAGGAACAGGTACATGCCGCTTCTCGGCAATACTCTTCAAGACATTGATGGTAGGCTCCAGTAAATGCATGGGATAACTGCTGAAGCGCCGCCCGCGTTGAGGCTCATTGAAGCGTGAATATTTACCAGAAAGACGGCCCTCGGCCAGCGAGGCAAACCCCTGAAAGCAGATACTCCGCTTTTTGCATTCTCGGATCATGCCGCTGACTTCAGGCAAGCGGCGGACGACTGAGTACTCGCACTGGCAGACAGAGAGCGGGACGTCGTGCTTGGCCAGCTCATCGGCCATCTTGATCATCTCCTTTGTATCGTAATTAGCTACTCCAACCGCGCGCGTCATCCCGGATTCCACACAGTCGGCCATGCCCTTGGCGACCGTGGATATCTTGCTAGGGTGGATAGGCCCATGTACGAGATAGATGTCGACGTAATCCAGGTTAAGACGGACGAGCGAATCTTTAAGTTTAGACTTGGGCCCGCCAGCCTGCATGAGTGTATTGGTCATGTCTGGTGTTGAGAGCCACTTTGTCTGCACCACGAAAGAGTCGCGAGGCATGTCCCGGAACAGGGTTCCACATATCAGCTCGCTCTCCCCGTCGCCGTAGGACTGAGCTGTATCCACGAAGGTCAACCCAACAGACTTGAGCTTGGCCCATGCTGTGTGAATGCGCGGTAGATCTCGTGTTGGATTGTAGTTAAATATTGCTTTGTCGCCCCATGACCATGCACCAATACTCAGGTAGGGAACGAGGACGTCCTTACCACCCACACCATGCAGAGCGATTCGGCTTTTCGAGTCGGGTGTTAGATCAGGTGGAAGCATGTTGACCGGGTCGCTGAGATGGGGGTCCACTGGCTTGGGGTGCGGGGAGTGCATGCCCTGTGTGCCTGTCATGCCGGCTGCGAGGCCAGCTTGCATCATATACTTAGTACCTGGGGTTGCCATTGTTCGGACAAGTACAATCGAGACAACAGTCGAGCCAATATGTACATATAATTGTGGACGCTGTGGACGTTGCTGCGCTGCCAAATTGATCGCGACTTCCCAGGTTGAATCA